TTTTGTTACAAAATAAATACATTGCAGTAAACAGCACCTGTTTACATTTGGCAAGCTTGGCTCCTTTCAGAAAATGCACACTATGCCATGTCCAAATGATTCTATTATTATGAAAAATGTCTTCACTGAAAGAGTTGTCAAGCATTGAAATACGCTGCCCAAAGAAGTGGTTGAATCACCATCCCTGGAGGTATTTAAAATACATGGAGATGTGGCATTTAGAGACATAGTTTAGTGGTGGATTTGGCCATGCTGACTTAACTGTTGGACTCAGAGATCTTTTCCAAACTAAATAATTCTATGAAAATCACATGTGAATAAAAATCATCTTCACATAACCATAATGAGATCCATGATAACTTGGTAACCACAACTCCACCTCAAAGAAGAGTTAAATTGTTCTGCTCTGCCCATTCTCACACATGCAGATCATTCGCACAAAAAAATTTGTCTGCCCCACTTACAAAAGCGAATTGGACAGCATGTAAGTAATTCACAGAATGGCAGTCTGTCCTATTAACTGTATACTGACAGACTGCCATGAACATGAAACATGGCTAAACCTAAAACCATCATATAGAACCAGGTTGCATATGTATTCTGTAAATCAAAAATACACCTAACCTGTGAATGAGGAATTTGTTCTTTTTTGCTAGATCAGGCGTGAGGAAGTTGTTATATTCTCGTGGACCAGTTGTTTCATAGCAGTGTGATCATAAATGTTAGCAGGTCTGCAGTACAAGAAGGAATCAAAGTCAGAAACAGCTCTCATGTAGAGAACATGAACTATTTCCTCAAAATCCTTCTATACATTACAGTCTTAAAGGTCTAGAAATATACAGGTAAGATTGAATGTGTAATTTTAGGGGTTTGTCCATTTGAAACCGTATTTACATAGGATGCAGGATCCTCTGGGACCTCTCACATCTACTCAGTATTCTCTTTCCATTGGGTGCTGTGAATGACAGTAAACATTGTTACTCCCTAAAGACTATAGCACTTCTCAGCTTCAGCACCAGAGTACAGGATCACGAGGGAATAAGGAAGGAAGATAATCCCACAAGAGTAAGGAAACATGGAGAGAACACCATGGGAGAGGAAAAGAAAGTGAAGTTTCATGATATTCCTCTTGTACTTGGTATTGGAAAGTGGCACCCATCCTTCTTCACTCACTATCCATATGGTTCCAGTCAAATAAGTACGTCAGACAAACTTAAGAATTGGGCCTAGAGTAAGGTAATTGACAATGAAAGAGAAAGAAAAATAAGGAAAAATTAGAGGATGAGGGGGATATAAGGAAGAAACAGATAAAATTCATGTAGAAATAGAGTGCAACCCCCAAAACATTGAGAAATATATACTCCATAAAAGGGGTGGAGGGGTGGGGAGAGGGCACAGAGACAGAGAGATCATTAACAGGGACAGTAATGAGGTGTATGTATGCAAGTTACAGCTTGACCTGACTAGAATATGGGATGCCTTGCGCATGCACAGAGTGTGAACTGCCATGTTCACAGGGCTGCATCTTTTCACCTACCACAACTTTTGACAAATGTGTATCGCCATGTGTTACTTTACATGACTGTAGATAAACATGTCACAATATGTACTAGAATTAATTGGTAAGTACTTAATTAAAATGCTCTTCTACTTAGAATACAGTAGTATTAAGTAAGTTTTTTTGGATCAAGTTCTCTCGTGAGGACTTGTGTCCCTTTGGGCATAGTTGCAAACTGTAAGTGCTGTTCAGCCACTCGGAGGGTGAGATGACCTCTCGCCATCTCTGTTCATACAGCTTAGCCAGAGGTTGTGCCACCAACCTCCATCATCTATGCTCCGCTGCTCCCCATTTGTCTCTACTGTTTCCTCTTTTGTGGGGATACTTGAAAATACAGAAGCGAGTAAGTGATGCAAAAACATGACTAACCCATACGCAAATTCCTGCTGGGAAATCTGCCAGGTTGCTATGGGAAACACACACTGCAAGGAGCATCTGCTCCCTGACTTTCCTCTTCTGTCCTAGCACGTTCACTTACACTCTCAGGAGGTTTAGATAGACTGTCCTCACTGACATGTGGAAATATGCTAACAGGGTCTGATACCCTTTCACAAATACTGGAATTTGTACCTTCACTTTCTTTTGTCCACTTGGCCTGACGAGAAATCTGACCCGTGAAAAATGAACATGGGAAATCTATGTCCTTGTATGATGACCATTTCTGCAAGAACAAGATGCAATTTCAACTGGCCATAATATCAAGCTTCTATTGCCACTTGTGACTCATATAGACAGTATAAACCTTACCATTTCAAACACAGGAGAACCCAGTGATACTCGATATATATTTTAGATCAGTCACCACTTAGAACACACTAGATGCAAACCTTCAGTCTTCCCTGCATGCCACCTCCAATGCCTCACACATGAGTACAGAGAGGGTCACTCGTCATTCTTCACTCCTGTCACACAATTTTCTATACAAAACAAGCTCATCCTCCAGAGGGCTCTTTTCCCTTAAAGATATCCCTGAAACCCAAACAGTCTGGAAACAGCCTGTTGGTTCGATATACAGCATCTCTATGTCTAGTTCATCAGATAGGAAAACCACAAAATGATCTCAAAGCCTGATTATTAATCTGTGTTAGATAGGCATAGTGTAATTTCATAGGAAGAGTTTTCAGTGAGATACATGACCCAAACATCTTTTCTGCAGAAAGGTATCTTCCAGTAAATTGAAAAAATACTTGTTTTTTGGCAACTGACATGCTAGTGGAGATGTGAGGTTTTTTATTCTTATGCTTCACCTTCAATAGTACATATTTTCAAGACCAGGTTTCTTTAGCCAGAATATCTATGACCTTTGCCTTTTGTTTTTTTATTTCCAAAATCTAGGTTTGTGTGGCAAGGTTTTGATGGTGGAGGGGATATAAGGGTGGCTTCTATAAGAAGCTGTCAGAAGCTTCCCCTTTGTCTGACAGAGCCAATGCCAGAATACTCCAACAGACCCACTGCTGGCCAAGGCTGAGCCCATCAGCGATGGTGGTAGTGCCTCTGGGAATAACATAATTAAGAATGGGGTGGAAAATATGAAACAGAAGAGACAGGGGGAAGAATATGTGAAAGAAGCAGCCATGTGGACACCAAGGTCGGTGAAGAAAGAGGGGAAGAAGGTCCTTCTGACACTGGAGCTGAGATTCCCCTGTAGCCCATGGTGAAGACCATGGTGAATCAGGCTGTCCCCCTGCAGCCCATGGAGGTCCACGGTGGAGCAGAGATCCACTTGCAGCCCATGGAGAAACCCACACTAGAGCAAGTGGAAGCCCAAGGGAGGCTGTGACCCTGTGGGAAGCCCATGCTGAAGCAGGCTCTTGGCAGGAATTGTGGGGCCATGCAGAGAGGAACCCATGCTGGAGCAGGTTTGCTGGCAGGACTTGTGACCCTGTGGAGGATTCATACTGGAGTATCTGCGCCTGAAGGACTGCACCCCATGGAAGGGTCCTGCTCTGGAACACTTTGCAAAGTGCCTGTGGAAAGGACTCATGTTGGAGAAGTTCATGGAGGGCTGTCTCCTGTGGGAGGGATCCCATGCTGGAGCACGGGAAGAGTGTCAGGAGTCCTATCCCTGAGGAGGAGGGAGCAGCAGAGACAGTGTATGATGAACTGCCCACAACCCCCATTCCCCACCCCCCCATGCTGCTGGCAGGGAGCAGAAGGGAGAGAATTTGTGAGTGAAGTTAAGCATGTGAAGAAGGGAGGGTTGGGGGGAAGGTGTTTTAAGGTTTAGCTTTTATTTCTTATTACCCTGCTCTGACTTGATTGATAACAAATTAAAATAATTTCCCCAAGTCGAGTCTGTTTTGCCTGTGACAGTAATCGGTGAGTGATCACTCTCTGCCCTTGTCTAGACCTACGAGCCTTTCAATATATTTTCTCTCCCCTGTCCAGATGAGGAGGGGAGTGACAGAGTAGCTTTGGTGGGCACCAGACATCCAGCCAATTAGACAGTAACAATGCTTAATTTTTTCTTCTCCACAATACATAGTTACCTAGTCTGGATATTGAACACATGCTTCCTCTGCTTTAGTACCTCAGTGGGAGCTACTAATGATACAATTAAATAGGCAGAAACACATTCAGGAGTAGCCTATGACACAGAAAACCGGTGATAAAAAAAATGGATAGCCATACCTTTCATAAGATCCTATTTTTTTGGCCACTAGTAGTTAAATTGTGGTTACTTACATTACAGCAGAACCTGGCCCTAGAAATTAGGCATGTCCATGCCGCACCAGGCACTGTGCAGATAGAGCAGGAAGAGAGAGTGTAACGAAATGTCATCATTTGCTGGTCAGAGTGATAAAACAGCAGCTACTTGTTTCTCAGGAGTAGTAAGTTTATTGCAGGAGTGTTTTAGGCACTGTTGAAGAAAAAATTAGCATGCTGTGAAACTGTAAAAGGGAAGCTCCTTGCACACTGGAGAGGATTCTTGTACAGGATTCAGAAATACTTAACAGATTTCATAGAATCATAGACTGCTTTGGGTGGGAAGTGACCTTGAAGTTCATCAACCTCCCGCTCCCGCCGCCTCTCCCGCTCCCACCTCGTCCCCCCACGGCTGTGACGCGCGGGCGCGCCCCCGAGCACCGCCCACCGCCCGCGCCGCTCCCGCTCGGGGCCGAGCCCGCGCCGCGCTCGCGGCCGCGCGCCGCCTGCCGGGGCAGGGAGGGGGTGCCCGCGCCCCGGGCTCGCACACGCGGCGGGCGCAGGCGCGGCGGGGCGGGTGCCCGCGGCGGGGCGGGAACGGCTGCGCCCCGCGCGCCCCCGCGGTGCGCGCCCCCCAGGGGTGGGAGAGGAGAGTGGTAGGGGCCGGCGCGCCGCGACCCCCGCGCCCGCCTCGCCTTCGCCCCCGCCTCCTCCTCCTCCTCCTCCGCGCTCCCCGGGCACGGGCGCGCCCTCTGCTCGCACCGCGCATGCACGCACCCCCACCCCCCCGCCCCCGGCGCGCGCGCGCGCGCACTGGAGTGCTCGTGCAGGAGGCGGCGGTGACGGCCGGAGAGACGCGCGCAGGCCCCCCCCCCCGAAGCCCCCTCCCCAAATTCCCCCCCCCCATTCCCTCCCTCCTCCCTTCCCTTTTCCCCGTGCCCCTCCCGCGTGGCGGCGGCGGCGGCAGCAGAGCCCCCCCGCGCTCCCCTGGGAAGCGCGGCTCCGCGCGCGCGCGCGGGCTGCAGGTAAGCGCGAGCCCTCTCCCGGTGCCCCCCCGCGCCGCTCCCGCGCGGCGGCCGGGCCGGCGCCGCGCTGCGCGCGCGCGCTCTCCCGCGCGCGCCCTCTCCCTCCCTCCGCCTCCTCCTCCTCCCTCCCCTCCCTCCCCCGCTCGCGGCCGCCGCCGTTACAGCCCCGGCAGCGCGCGCTGGGTGAGATGGCGGCGCCGCGGGCGCGCCCGCTGCCCCGGAGCCGTCGCGCGCCTGCCTCCCGCAGGCGATGGGAGGGAGAGGGAGAGGAGAAGGAGGAGGAAGAGGAGGACGCATCCAGCGATGGATGCGCTGTGGCGCGCGGGCCCCGCGCGCTGCAGCCGCCACCGCAACAAAGGGGCGCGCGGCCGCATCCAGGCGGCGGGAGCCGTTGGAGCGAGGGAGGGAGGAAGGGAGGGAGCGAGCGAGCGGGGCGCCGTCCTTGCGCAGCCCCGTGAGGAGGCGCGGCGGGAGCGCCGGGCTCGCTCCGGAGAGTGGCCGCTGCTGCTCGCGGGCGCCCCCGACGCCGGTGCGGGAGCGCGGGCGGCGTGGCAGGAGCTGGGCTGGTCCCCGCCGGGAACCCGCCCGCGCCGCGTCCCCGCCGGCGGGTGCGTGGAGCGGGCGTGCGCCTCCGCGGCCACGGGCACGGCAGCCGCGGGAACAGGCGTGGGCAGGCACTGAGCGCGTCCCGAGCAGGCACAACCTCCAGGACACACCTCCCCACGTCCCGGCGGTGGTAGCGGTTGTGTAAAAAGTGTGTGAAGGAATAAATCAGAATTAATTCAGCCGATTACCTCAATAAGTAATTCTCTCTTAGGAAGCGTCAACAGAACTGCAGCAAAGTTGCATATTGTTTAACAGAACAGGGTACAATTGCTACTAGATTATTAGCACTGACGTTTTGCTACTTGTTTGAAGAAAAAGCATTTTTCCCAGTTTGCAAGGAGCTCTAAACGTATCCTCTTGAAATGGTGGTTGTCCTGCCCTCTTCGGTGCTGGATTGATACGTTTTCCTGGGCCAGCAGACTCAGACAGCCCAGAAAAATACACAGGAGTGTTTTTTTGGTTTTGTTTTCTTTAGTGTATTTCAAATATTTATGCGATCCCTATCTGGCTATCTTAACATCAGATTATTTAGGACTAAGAAAAGAATTTTGGTCTTCCAAAGTGGAAGTTGCCTACTTGTCATCATGCCTGTTGCAGAGTGTCATAGAATATAGGAAAGAAGTTCTCAGCAGCTCTGTGCCAGGTGATGGAAGATTTGTTCTGAACCATTATTAAATTTCCCTCCTTTCTGTTATATTTTCATCTTCTGTCACAATTAGATGCCAGCAATTGGGATTGAATAATTTGAATTATGTGTCTTGTATTATCCTTCTGCTCTTCGGGTATCTCCACTGTTTGGAGATCTGGCACACTTGGTATCTCTTTCCCTGGTCCTTGATGCTCATCCACCCATAGCACAGTCTGCTGTCCTTTGGGATGCTCAGTCTGCTTGCCAGACCGTCTGCTAGGCTTGTTCAGATATCTGGTTCAGCAGGAGACTAATCACCTTCTTGATGGGTTGATTACTGGATTGACTGTAGTGATTCCTGTGGAGGTTTTTCAGACTTTTAGATGTAGTGCAAAGTAAGTAGCAGGAAAGTGGAGCCAGGGAAATGCAGTAGCCAGAGGAAAGTAAACACATGGTTTATATCAACAATGCTATCAGATCAGTTTATCAAGTAGAACTGTAGTACCACTGAAAAATAACTGAGTAGTTTAACAGTGCATTTTGTCTAACATAAAATAATTGAAACTCACAAATTGAAAATAATTTTCTGAATAGATCTTATAATTTCTTGAAATGTTATTACCTTCCTGTCTTTCAGGCTGAAAGTGGCCCAGTCTGAGGGCTAATCTGTCAAATATTTAATAATCACTTGCTCAGAAAATATCCCGCGTTGTTCATGGTAAGTCTTGTATTTGATATTTCACATTTAGTTTGTTGTGCTGACACAGAGTATTTCTTACACATTTGTAGTATTAATGTTTGCTTTAGCTTTAAGAATTACTTAAAAGTTGGATCATACATTTACTGAGAACTGCAACTTCACAGAGAAGGTTTCCGGTTTTGTATAACTGAATCAATAAATAAAACGGAATAATTGTAAAATCAAAGGGAAAGATCTTTATGTATTCACAATTTTAAAATAAGTTTCAGAGTAATGCTTATGTAATCTAAAAGCTTTTTCTGATCATATTAAGAAAAAAATTATTTGACTTTTTTTTAGTATGTAAATGGTTTTGTCTGTTGGGATTTTATGACTCAGACTGCTTTATAAAAATTACAAAACTTTCCGTTGTTATTTTACAGGAGTTTTTCATCAGTATGTCTGAAACCATTAAATATAATGACGACGATCACAAAACCGTGTTCCTGAAAACACTGAATGAACAACGTTTGGAAGGAGAATTTTGTGACATAGCTATTGTGGTTGAAGATGTTAAATTCAGAGCCCATAGGTGTGTGCTTGCTGCTTGCAGTACCTACTTCAAAAAGCTTTTCAAGAAACTGGAAGTTGATAGTTCATCAGTAATAGAAATAGATTTTCTTCGTTCTGATATTTTTGAGGAAGTTCTCAATTACATGTATACTGCAAAAATATCTGTTAAGAAAGAGGATGTAAATTTGATGATGTCTTCCGGCCAGATCCTGGGTATTCGATTTCTTGATAAACTCTGCTCTCAAAAACGTGATGTTTCTAGTCCTGAAGACAACACACAGTCCAAGAGCAAGTACTGTCTAAAAATAAACCGTCCTATGGGAGAACCTAATGATACACAAGATGATGAGGTGGAAGAAATTGGAGATCATGATGATAGTCCATCAGATGTGACAGTGGAAGGAACTCCCCCAAGTCAGGAAGATGGAAAGTCACCAACTACTACCCTGAGAGTGCAAGAGGCAATTCTGAAAGAGTTGGGAAGTGAAGAAGTTCGAAAAGTAAACTGCTATGGCCAAGAAGTAGAGCCTATGGAAACAACTGAATCTAAAGACTTAGGATCTCAGACCCCTCAGGCTTTGACATTTAACGATGGCATAAGTGAAGTGAAAGATGAACAGACACCAGGCTGGACCACAGCAGCTGGGGATATGAAGTTTGAGTACTTACTTTATGGTCACAGGGAACATATTGTGTGTCAGGCTTGTGGCAAGACCTTTTCGGATGAAGCGCGATTGAGGAAACATGAAAAGTTACACACTGCTGATAGGCCGTTTGTTTGTGAAATGTGTACAAAGGGCTTTACCACACAAGCTCATTTGAAAGAGCACTTGAAAATACACACAGGTTACAAGCCTTACAGTTGCGAGGTGTGTGGAAAGTCTTTTATTCGTGCACCAGATCTGAAAAAGCATGAAAGAGTTCACAGTAACGAGAGGCCATTTGCATGCCATATGTGTGATAAGGCTTTCAAGCACAAGTCCCATCTCAAGGACCATGAAAGAAGACACCGAGGAGAGAAACCTTTTGTCTGCAGTTCCTGCACTAAAGCTTTTGCTAAGGCTTCTGACCTAAAAAGGCATGAGAACAATATGCACAGTGAAAGAAAACAAGTTACTACAGCCAATTCCATCCAGAGTGAAACAGAACAGTTACAGGCAGCAGCCATGGCTGCAGAAGCAGAGCAGCAATTAGAAACTATAGCTTGTAGTTAAAAACTAAAGCAGAAACTTTATCAGAAATAATATAAGAAATGAACAAAAGCTATTGTTGATATACATTTAGACTGAGAAGTTTTTCAAGAAAGCATATTTTTAGAGGATTGAATGTTACATAGGAATACATAGCATTGCTTGGTTAGGTATTTTAAAACATTTCAGAGATGGATATTCTTAGAATGTGAAGCAGTTTTGTTGTCATTAGCAGTATAATGCACTAATACCTGCTTTAATTTGAGAATGTGATCAAGTTCTCTATAAAACAGGGATCATTGCTGGCTGATACTTATTCCGTTCAGTACGGAATACTGCATACAACATAAACTTTGCAATCAGTAAGAATCAGTAAGTTTGAAAACGCTGAAATCTCAAAAATCACAAACATGGAATGGAAATACTTAATTCTGAAGGTGTTACAATTTTTTGAGAAGCAGACATTGATTACCCAAGCTTTTTAATTCCTCCTTTTTTCACTTAATCTAGGTAGTTACAATAGAGTGCAAGGGGGATGGTGATCAAAATGAAATTGCTTCTTAATCCATTCCCCCAGATACCCTCTATTTTAATCAAGGTGGCAAGTTTGATTAAATACTTGATTTCTTGAAAAAACTGCATTATTCACAGTGATTCTGGCTGGCAAAGCAGCAGTGTCATGGCATTCACCAACCCCTTCAGTGGGTAAAAAAATTTGCCTCATTTGTTTTTATGTTCACTCTTATACAGGGCCCTGGAGACGGGACCGGGCCACAAAGGATAAAGGGTGCAGCACGGATGAGACATGCTCCTTACTCAAATCCAGTAGAAATCAGTTAAAGCTAATACAGCCTGAGGCTGTGGTTTTTATTATGCAGCTTTCGGTTCACCTAACACACAGTGAAGGCAAAGGAGTGTTTCTTGGAGCACAGGAAGTTTAGCTGCACTGGCAAGTGACCTGTCACTGCCAGACTCCTGGAGCTGCAGAGCACAACCACAGGCTATCACATACCTGCCCACAGTGTTCAACTGGGGATCGTGTCATGGCTTGTCATACCAGCTCATAGGTCCTGTTCAAATTTAAAAACTTCCACCTTCTGATTCACCACCTCTCAGCAAGAGAGACACTTCAGTGAGTGGATTCAGTTGTAATTGATCCAGAGTGAGTGTTCGCTACTAGTTGGTTGCTTGGTCTTGCCTATTTTTTTTTAAGACAAGCTGGCGTACATGCTGCTAATTTAATAGTTAACTCACAGAGTCAACAAAATAGGTTGTCTTTGGATTGCAATCTCCTGTGTGTAGTCAGCAAGAGAAGACATGATAACAGTGGTTATGGTAATCCAAAGGGTATCGAGCCTTTCTTTTAAATTTGTAAATACTACAACTGTTGTGAAAACTTCATTTGAAGTTGGAATGGGCAAAAAAAACACACTCTTGGGCACATTGTAGTAACATTGGTCACTTGCAATACCTATAGCATATGGAAGTGTTAGATCAGTTTCTGGTAAGTTACTGTATGGTACATCACATCTTGCTTTTCTAAAAAGAAATTTAAAAAGTGTTTTTGGAACTGTTATATGGAACTTCTGTTATTGGGGTTTCTTTGTTTGGTTGAGTTGTTTTTTTTTTTTTTTTACAGCTTCATTTTATTCATGTACTTATCAGGTTAAACAGTTATCTTACAATGCCAGTAATTGTTTGAATGCTGGTCTGTAAATAAAACATGAACTTAATATTTTAGAAAATGTAAACTTTGGACCTTTACCAATATATTTTTTTAAAATGTTGCTTCATTTTACATTCAGTAATATTAGTTTGTAAACAAACTATACATTTTGTACCTGTGCAACATCAGAGGATGTGTATTCATTGCATTTTATTGGTTCTCTTGAGGAACATGATAAATGACCATTGTTAAAATGTTTAACTGTATATGATCATAGATATAAAGATAGTAGGTCCAAAATAGGATCTACTTTTTTTTCTAAAAATTTTAGTTGTGCTATGTTTTTTTATCTAAAATTGTCTTCACTTTTTCCAGGATTAAATTGGGGTTTATAAAACTGTACAAAAAAGATCTGTTGTGATAAGAGTTCAAAGGTGTAAAACGTGAAGAAAGTAAATTTTCTCTGGGTCTGCTATGAAGAGCGCAAAAAGCAATGAGCTTAAATTACAGCAGTAAACATTTACATTAAAAAAAAAAACAAAAACAAACCCCCCCCCCAACTTTTAAAGGGTTTAATAATGAATTACTAGAACAGAATGCTGGGGAAGCATTACAGTCTCCGCTAGTGGTGACATTCAAAAATGGGTTAGACAAACATAGGTTAGAAATGGTTTAAATTTGGTTAATTCTGCTCTGAAGCTGAGGAGTAAGCTGAAAAACCTCTCAAGAACAGCCTCATTGGTTTGTTGGGGAGGGGGTGGCTTTTTTTATTTGTTTGTTAGGTTGGTTTTTTTTGAAAATAATAAATTAAAATGGATCTCATGGGGCAGCACATGCTTGCGTACAGAGACAGAGCTCAAGTCTTGCAGTTAAAAGAATACTGCCCCCTGATTTTTGAGCACAAGCAGTCAGGCTGTGAATTTGAAATTGTTATAGAAAAACAGGCTTGCATTAAAAGACTCACTAGGGAAAGTGTGATAACATTATGTGTTACGTCAGAGTAAATTCTGCTATTACTAAAGCTTATGACTGGAAAAATTAACAGCTGTAAGGACTGTGCGATGTTTGTAGCTTTTAAAAGCTGGGACAGATTGATATTATTCATAATCTAATACAAAAATGTGCAGAGGCACGAACAAATGTTATTGCTGCATGTTCCTTGGACAGGTATAAACACCTTATGTGAGACTTAATAGTCTATGACAGGATCAAATCAAATGAAGTCAATGGAATTGACTCCATGTCAAAGGTTTTGAAAGGGGCCTCAGCCTCACGCTAGTTTTTAGGTGCTTAAGAGTCAGAAAACTGCTATATGTTCCTGAGACCAATGTTGACAATACTGGTGAAGAAGGCAAAGGCTCAGTTATATTTCTGAAGTTGATTGTGAATTTTATTGGCAATTTCTACCTCCACCGTCTGTTTTAAGGATGTGATGTTACCTTCTTTTTTATTTTTTTGAAAACCAGTGGATACTTTTTTTTCTCCGCAATTGTTTTTACTCAAGGCAGAGAGAAGGCCTAGAATACTTAAGTTTATAAAGTTTTGGAAAAGGTTTCAGAAAGGTGCCGATGTAACCTTAGCTGCATATGGATCACAGTTAACGTGTTCTAAATTAACCTGTTTGTTTTATATGTCCTGAAGGGTAGTTTGCTTATATATTGTGGGGATCTGTCTGTGAAGTTCAGGTAAATCTGTCTGCATCTGAATACTCTACTTACTGCTCCTGTCTCTCTTCTGCCTGTGCCACAAGACGTCATGTATTAAAGCAGGTGTGCGTCAGCTCCAAGCCACTGAGGTTTTCCAGCCTGATAAACCGTAAGCTGTAAACCATGTTGATTGAGTAATGGGCAAACATTTATTCTTGCTTTTACAAGGATGGCGTGACAGTTTCTTTCAGAGTTTATGAGACAATGAATGAGGTTCTCTCTGACTAATGGGAATTTTGCTGTTAACTGTATTGGGGCCGGACTAGTCTTACAGCAGGCAATTCAGGTAATTGGTGTGCATGCAGGAATGACAGAATGCTGTAGAAAATAGATGGTTAAAATAGTGTTGAATATGTTCTATTTTTTTCTCTGAATTAAGTAGCAAAAGTATTATGTATGGAATTAGTCCTGAATGTACACTTGTCAATCTGTGGTTTATGAGATCAGAGTCAATTATGTCTTTAATATACATAGGATAGCAAACACTCGGTTACTCTCTTTGGCTGACACTGAACCTGCATCCATCTTTTGATGTTATGTGACCATGTGGCTTCAATGGAATCCTCTGTATATGGGAGTTAAGTATGTGAATAGGTGTTTGGTAGGCAGGGCTTACATGTATACAGTGCAGCAACATGTTAGTTGATGTGAAATGAGCTGCTTCTGGTGGTTGTCTTATGTAAGGTCAACACCAGATGAGACACTGAACCAGTGTCTCAGCTGCAAACCCATCTAAATACTAAGGAAGTATAACAATTTAATTAAAAGGCTTTGTATAACAATTTAATTAAAAGGCTTTGTGCTTTAAAATAACTTGAAGTGAAAAGAAATATGAAAAAATGACTTTGCTATTCTGGGATCTTAACTGGGTGACTGGATGTTCTTAAAACAGTTTGGGTTTTTTTGTTTGACTTTTTTTTTTTTTTTTTTTTTTTTTTTTTTTTTTTTTTTTTTTTTTTTTTTTTTTTTTTTTTTTTTTTTTTTTTTTTTTTTAAAGGGAAAAAGGTAGAAAACCAGCACACATTTTGGCCTGTGATATCTGCTAAATTTCTCATTCTAATTGTGTTAGCCATGGGTGTGCTGGTGATTATTTGGCACAACTCAGTTTGGAAGCTAAATGCTCAGGAGGAATACCTTTCAGCCCTTCTTCACTCCCCACCCCTTCTTTTACATGCTGTTCACGTATCAATAGTTAAAAAAATAATAGAAAAGGAAGCAACTCACAGTTGAGTGAGTACTTTTGGTTTTGTTTTTCAGCTTAATTCTTTTAGAAAGATTTAGACCTGGAGATCAGAGTTTTAAAGGTCATTTTGTGAAAGGAAATGTCTCATACTCACTTCAGTAGCAAAAGTGAGAGGGGATCAGTTTCTTTTTGTTCATTTAAGCTACAGAATACTAAATACTTTGCAAAGTCTTGCCATTTAGGCACCCAAATGAGTTCTTTTGAAGATCAGGCCCTAGTTTTCTAATGTAGATATTACTTTTGGGATTCCATTAAGTAAGAATACTTAAAATTAATAGAGTCTGTGTGAGATACAGAATAAAATATCTGATTATATCAGAAAGTCTACCCTAAGGTTAGAGTATATTTTTAGGGACAGATTATCTTTTATTAAGTATTTTATAAATTTAGACACCTCTAGGCTTACAGAAGGGACAAAGCATTTATGCAAGAGAGTACATCTCCTGCTCACAACAGATGACGTTTCTGAATGTAAACATTTGCAGATTGGTACAGAGCAGAATAATTCTAACTGGAAGGTAGACAGATCTATGAAATTTTCATCTTTGTCAAACAGCTACTCTTTAGATCAAAACAGTATGTCCAGTCAGGCAGAAACTTGCACATTTCATTAAAAATTCCATTACTGCAGTTGATCTATCATTTGTCTTCATATAGATCTAAAACAATTATAACATTCTTACTCATTTCAGAACAGACGGAGAATTTCCAGTAATAGATTTGTTAAATATGTGTCATAAGAGTTGAGACACCTATTCTCAGGAATGATTTTTAAATGTAATACAAAAATCTGAAATAGCCAAAAACAGTGATTTATACAGTATTGATAAGTTTTCCAATGTATTTCTCTCAACTGTCTTACATTTCTCTCAACTGTCTTATATTTTTTTATTTAAATACCCTGCATTTAGATATTTATAGAACTCTGAATGAACTTCAGTGGTTCCAATGTGAACAGCACTGCAGCTCTTTAAAGTAAAAAAAAAAAAAAAATTCTGAATCTTACTGATATTTTTAAGATTCTCTAGCTAAACATCTAATCTTTTATAGGTAAACTTGAAAAACATGTGGACCTTATGAATAAAGCTGTACCACATCTGACCAATTTGGCATATGTGTATCAAAAACCATGGCCAAAGCAGAACTACTGGATACCTGTATCTCAGATCCCTGCCATGATTTTTTTAAGTCTACGAGTTCTTGAAAGAGCACAAGTTTGTAAAACACATGATACTGACAAGAAATTAGAATTTTTACTGAATTGAGACTCCAATTTTTTTTTTAATAATAATGAGCCATTTTGAAGACCTATAGAAGACAGTAGCTACATGTTACATATTATGCAGTAAATAGTTCTAAAGTTGTGTTTTCATTCACAACTAAGATAAATAGATAAAATGCATTGGATCTAGATCATCTTTTTGAAATCATTAAATCATGAGAGCAATTTTCTACTTTTTCCACTGAAACATGAGAGTTTTACTTCTGTTTAGAAAAATGTCTTTTCTTATGCAAACCCTCTGTTGAAAACAATAACCAAAACCACACAAGCCCTAATGTGCCTACACTTGTGGTTTTCTGACCTCTTCCCAATGGCCTATTTATACATTTAAGTAATCTGCATATGCTAAGGACTTGGAGT